TCTTCCAAATGGAGTTCAGGGTGCTTGTGTAGTGGGCACTTACGTCTCCGGTTAAAGCTGCAATGGATGGCATCAGAGCTTTGTCATTACGGAGGAACAAAGCCAGACCGATCGCAACGGGAAGGTCACCGAAAAAATCGTACTTGTTTGGAATTAGGGGGTGGTTGTTGTCAACCCCCATCTTGTCGCGTACAATAAAACATTGAAGGGTTTGATTGAGGGGTCCTTCATAAACTTCTCTAACAGAAAGGTTCTGCACGGCGAGCCGAGAGGTTTCAGTGGCTCTGCTGCAAAGTCGGAGGGTGGCTGTCTGGAAGAGGAAGAAATCCAGAAAAGCCTCTGTATTGAACCAGAGGCAACGGATGAGGATGAAGGTGATCTCGGCGTTGGTGTAAACTTTGTTCTTGGTGATGGGGGATTCTTTCTTCCGGTCCTTTACTTTTGCTTTCAAGCACCTGAAGGCTGAGGCGTAGGTTTCTTCAATGACTTTCAGGTAACGTGACAGCATGAACTTCTTTGTCAATTGGTTCTTGATAGACGGCATGTAGCGTTCCAGGGTGCCTACTGCATAGGCGCTTCCATTGGGTTTCTTTAGGCTAAACCAAAAGGTTGGTTGGTCTTTCCAGAACAACAACCACCACTTTGTTACATCGTCATCGTTGGTTGAAAAAGCGCCGCCTGTCTCAGTGAGATCTTCGTAGTCGATGCTGGGCAGACCGAGGTGGAGCTGGAGGTTGGTTAAGTAGGGTTGGATCTTAGAGGCGGTGCTGTTGTGCTTTGATTGGCATGACTTGGAAGCCGAAGCGTAGAAGTCAACACGAACATCTTCAAGCGACGATCCTTGAGAGGATTCCATTGTCAAGGCAGATCGGTGGGAGGGCGTCCTTTACTAGTCTCGGAAAAGTTGAAATTGTGAGAGGGGTTGCACTCCTTGGAAGGGGGGTTCCTGGGGTGGACCGTGGACCGAGGTGGATGAAGGTTGTCAATTATTCGGTGACGGGCTGTTCTGTGGGGTGTCGGGTTTGACGATTTGGTAGCTACGGTTGCTAAGGAGTGGAATCAGAACTCTTGAAACCGTCGCATTCTGTGTTATTAGAGGGACGGTTTAAGGTTAATAACTGTTGATCTGGTTTTGGAAAATGGCGCGAACTGCGTGGATTCACCGAAGTCCGTCTTATGAAGAACTTTCCTTTTTCTATCACAACTGCTACACAATGCTACGTAGCAAAGACATTCTCATCTGACAGCTGACAGGGCAATGCAGGATGCAATCAGGGTTTGTCACAAAGCAAGCTTGGGGAACAAGGGCAAATATTGCTAGTTGTCCAATCGGGGGGCTCTGCAGGCCCAGGCCTGCAGCTATTAATAGACAGATCACCACGATCAATGGTTGCAGTAGGGAACAAGCCTAGCGTACAGTATTATTAATAGACGGTACGGCAGAATAAACAACTGGCAACTGAGAGAACGCTATCCAGCTGCAATTAGCTGCCTTTGTGCTCTATTATCATTATACTACCCATCCGCCACAAGCCCCAAAAGCGTCGACCACACACCACAACAGCTTCTATCATCACCATGACGAAAGGCGCATCTCCACCAATTTCCTCCTTATCCTCCTCTGCGACTTCTCGAATGATGGTGGATGGCACCACCCGCACCCACTACGGCCTCGACGAGGATAACATTACAGCATCACGGGCACTACGAAAGGAAACCATCGTCATCAATTGTCTTCGTTTTGCCGTGTTGGCAGTGTTGATCGTCACGGCGGCGGTCCTTGCCGCAGGCATCTACCATTACACGCGCAATGACGAGCGGGAGAATTTTATGGCACACTTTGAAGACTCGGCCAATTTGGTGATGGATTCCTTTCACGATACCATTGAACGCAATATTGGGTCCGTGTCGGCCATGTCTTCCGGTATTACTTCCTATGCACTACAGCAACAAGCCAATACGAATCAGAGCTTTCCCTTTGTGACCATTCCACATTTCGAGGTTCTGGGATCGCATCTGCGGGTTCAGGCAGGATCACATATCGTCCACTACATGCCCGTTGTCACGGAGGAGATGAGGCCTGCCTGGGAGGAGTATGCCATGGAACATCGACATCATATCGATGATTCCTTTGCCATGGATCGGTATTATCAAAGTCGACAAGATATGGAATTTGGAATTGAACAACAGGCTCCCAACCAACAACAACAACAAACGAATAACCAAGGGAGTCGACGAAGGCTACAACAGGATGAGACCACCGAGCAGGAGAAGTTCCCCATGACCATCCTTGACGACGAGTCAAACTTTCACCCCAAAATTTGGAGGAATCAAGCTGTAACCACACCCGGGGATGAACCAGACGGTGGAGGTCCTTACATTCCTCAATGGCAACGAAGGTAGGTTTCCGTGGACGACATTTTCCACGTGCTGATGACTCGACTCGGTTGTCTCTAATAATGAATTCAAACTGGTTCCAATGCTTCTTGTTTTTTCTTCTTCTTGTTCGAATCAACGAACGAACGCACGAGCAGCCCAATCAACCCCAAGAAGCAGGCACCTCTGAATATGAATTTCCAAAACACAAAGCTCGTCAAGCAGGGTACCTTGGAACAAATGATTCGGGAGAAAAAGGCCATATTCCATCCGGCAGTAGTCCCCATTCCGGCTTGGAGAAATCGTCTAGAGGCAAATTTGAAGCTGTCACAATACAGAACACAAATCGACGAGCTTGTGGACGGACTAAGCACATTCTTGACATATCCGGTATTCGATTCGTTCGATATTGACAACAGAGAGGTGGCGGGAGTGCTGGCAACCAGTGTGTACTGGAAGGTGCTCTTCTCCTACTTGCTACCTGCCAATTCCGATGGAATTGTCTGTGTCATTGAGTCCCCTTCTTTCAACCAAACATTCACCTATCAAATTGATGGACCAGAAGCAACCTTCCTTGGAATGGGAGATCATCATGATCCACAATATTCCGACTTGGCAGTATCTGCTGATGTCAATGCCTTTCTCAAAAGCAGGGCTCGACCTCAAAACAGAGCGTACTCCACAGTTCCTTTGAGCGATGATACCCAATATGTTCTCAAAGTGTACCCGTCCGCAGCTACCGAAGCACCATTCACAACCATGCAACCCGCCCTCTTTACTGGTTTGGTTCTTGTTGTGTTTGCATTCACATCCGTCCTCTTCCTCTTGTTTTCCTATGTTGTCGAGAGGAGGCATACAATGATGGTTGAGAATGTGCTCGAGCATGCTCAAAAGGCAGCGGACACTGAACGAGAGCTCAACGAGTTTCTTTCCCATGAGGTAGGCTTTGATTGATTGGAGATGTCTGCATGCAGTCTTAGTATTCAAAAGGTGTCTCTTTTGCTGACCTTTCTTTCCCCGTCAAGGTGAGAAATCCGCTCTCAGCAGCCATCTCCGCCTGCTCCTTTGTCTCCACAGCAGTCAATGAGCCAGCACCATTGTCTGACGAGGATACTCAAAAGCACGTGAGAGAAGATATTGAAGTGGTCAGCTCTAGCCTCCACTACATCAATGATTTCTTAAGGTCCATGTTAGACATTCACAAAGCCTCAGACAACAAGATCAAGATTGAAATGGCCCCAACTGACATTTTGCAAGACGTGCTGGAACCTGTTTCTGCCATATTGTACAAGAGGATGGCAAGCTTTGAGGTGGTGGTGGATTGTCCACCCAATTTGGTGGTCATGACCGATAGCATTAGGCTGAAGCAGGTTGTCCTCAATATGGTAGGTTTTCCTATTTCAGTTTCAAGCAAGATTTGATGCAATGGTTTGGAGGAGGATTTTCTCACACGTACTCCTTACATTTGTGCCTCAGGTGAGGAATGCATCCAAATTTGTGGAAAAGGGCTTCCTGAGGATGAGAGCAGATGTGGTGGACCAGCAAGTGATAATTTATGTTGAAGACTCTGGTCCTGGCATTCCCTTGGAAAAGCAAAAGGAATTGTTTGCAAAGTTCCAAGCAAGTCTGGACATGCTGGGTCAAGGCACGGGTATCGGGCTCAATTTGTCAAAAAAGCTTATGGCCACAATGGGAGGAGAATTGTGGCTCGATGGCAGCTATGACAGTGGAGTGGAAGGATGTCCTGGAGCCTGCTTTGTTGTCCAGTTGAATACCCCTCCATTGGATATGGAGTCAGCTCTACCACGTGACATAGAATCATCACTGCCACATGGCAATGATCTACGGTCTTCTTATTCAGGAACTCGGTCTGATTCTTTCCTCAATTCACATCTTTCCCATCAGGCAGAACCTGCTGATGAAGCTGCGCCCAATATGGTTGTGCCCCATGAACAGGAACCAGCAGCAAGACTCAATGCACCACAACCTACTACTGAACCAGTGCAACCACCAGCGCAACCAGAACTGCCACCAGAGCTTTCAGTGCTGTTTGTTGACGATGATGCAGTTCTTAGGAAGCTGTTTGTCCGAGCAGTGAAAAGGGCAATGCCAACATGGAAAATCAGTGAGGCATCCAGTGGAGAAACTGCTCTGCGGATGTGTGAGGAGCTGCAACCAGAGCAGTATGATCTGATCTTCCTTGATCAGTACATGGCAAGTGCGGACAAGCAGTTGCTGGGAACTGAAACAGCCCACACCATGAGATCAAAAGGGATATCCAGCAGGATTTGTGGACTGTCTGCAAATGACTTGCGTGACTCATTCATCAACTCGGGAGCGGATGATTTCGTAATGAAACCAATGCCTTGCAAGGTTGACGAGTTGAAACAGCTTCTAGTGAGAGTTTTGAAGAGAGCTTAAGATTGAGACTCCTAGTATCCTACACCAGTCCAAACTACAGGAGGAACTCACTTTTTGCGTTGGCTTGTCCACCCTACATGGCTTATTTTGGGTAGATATCTAACTCCTGCAGCTTTCCTGTGATGCTCACTCACGTTAGAGAAAGTTGATGTGCTCTGTCGTGTCCTTGACGCTAAAGGATGTCAGCACGTGCACATGTGCATATCAAGGGAATGATTGATGTTGGCTAGTGGGCGCCGTCCTATATTATTTTAGAGAAGCTGTTTGACAAAAGGCCTGGTCGCAAAGGGACGGGCTTCCGCTCTGACCTCCACTCATATTCTCATGTCTATCAGCCTCTGTCATCAAGGCCTAAGGGAGCTGCTCCCTAGCTAGCATGATGCAACCAGCCAACGACCCATATGGCAGGCTCGAGTGATCACTTTGCAAGCTGGTTGCGGTGTCTAGGGGAGGAGCGAGGAATCCAGGCATCGCAGGTCTGCTCTAGCTAGGTAGGCAGGGGCGAAAAGAACCGGGGTGCTGTGGGTCTTGGTGGCTGTCTTATTGGGTCGTTTCCTTGGCATCAAGAGAACCCCAACCTTTCTTACGATCAGACCTATGGTTCCATCAGGGAGATGAAACAAGCTGCCCGGAGCCAAGTGGCTGAGACGACGTATACAGAACCCTGACTAGACCAAACCCTCCCCCAGCCCGCGTCTGCCCCCAAAGCAGCTAAAGATGAACTGCTTGAACGTCACCGTATTACTTCCACAAACTACCAACAGGTCTCTCGCTAGCTAGCTCGAGCGTGTCAGCCTGATCTCTCCCACGCGGCTACGACTGTGTAAAAATCTGCGCAATAAAGATGTAGCCGGCGCCTTGCCGACCTTTGGGCATCACAACTAGCTTCAGCCGTTCTCTGGCGCCTAATGTCACCATATGTACTTGCAGCTCGAGCCCACACTGCAGGTAGCACAAACTGTGGAGTGTCCAGGTGATAAGCAAGTTGCTACAGGTGATCCCTTGGAGGAGAGGTGCAGATGCACCCACCAACAAACCAGACTGGATGGCACTTTCACAGCTTCGGCTGAACCGTTTTCCAAGGCTTCGAGGTGCTGGGCGTGCTGTGGAACAGTTTCCGGATTCGATCCGATGCGTCACATGAGCTTTCCGGGGCCGCCATCTTATTTTAGTGACGGGCCAAAGTGCTGTAGTCTAGCTTCACTGGGAGGAAATCGAATCAATCCAGGTAGCCGCATTATCCAACCAAATCTTCACATGCAGTGTACTCTGGTTGGGATCAGGCCGAAGTGTATCCACAAACACTGCTTACCGGTACTAGTACATGTAGAAGTACCGTAGACAGCCCTGCATTGGCCGCTTCAATACATCTAGCGGCACGACTTATCGGTAGTTGAGCTGCTTTCAAAGCAACTTGGAACAGAGGACAAGAAGTAGTGTCGTGCAAACCTAGTTAGCAACTTTACTTTTGATTCGATTCTACTGTTCGTGATCTCGCCCACTCTAAAACGCTAGTTAAGAATTGGATCCAACCACCGCGAGCTCCACAAGCAGCTTGCAAGCGCCCTGAACGTATTTTGCCGCTACTGAAGCCACCCTTGGCATCCTTGTTGTTCCAATATTTCTGTCTCTTCCCACCCATAATCATTCAAGACAGGCTCAATGACTTGACAAAGTCCTCCAAAAAGTTGAGTCCTCCAGATACTTGTCGGCTGGGAAGCTTGGGGGGAGACCCCAGCGACTCGATCATGACCTTGGCATCATCCGGGTGCGACCAGGTCTTTAATCGTCTCAATTTGTCCGGGGAGCGATCTTGACCGACGCTCGCTTCACTCTCCCATCGAGAAATGGTGGTGTGATTCGAGGCGTTTTCCAAGAGGCTCATGGGTTCCCAGTCTTCATCTTCGCTGTCCGTTAGTGCATTCGATTGCCGAATGCATCGTGGGGGCGTCTTATCGGACAATCGCTTGGCTTGACTGTCCCATCGTCTCTTGGCAGATTCTTCGTCACAGCTGGAATGGCTCAAGGGGGAGATTATCTTCGCCTCGTCTGGACTCTGGACAGTTTCGGGGCTCGAGTTTCGTTCTGTGGTGGTGAGTGTGCTGCTACCGTTGTTTTCAGTTGAGTTGATAAGAGAATTGGGGTGCTGTATTCCAGGGGGGGTTAAATCCTCAGACAAGGCTCGTCGTCTGCGCTCTCGATGGAAGATGGCTCTCTTGCGTCGAGCCAATCGCCGTTCCATGGTCCGTTGGTCTTGTACAAAGTCTCCATCGCAGCTAATGCTGGAGCACGAATCCATCTTTCGAAATTCTAACACTTTTCCGCTCATGGCAATCATTGCATTCATAGACGACGGTACTCACTCAAACCTTTGTGGTGGATCTTGGGGAAACTGGAACTCTCTCAAGTTACGATGATGTTTTATTATGGGGGGGATCAATCGCCATCGGATCGAGAATCTTCCATCGAGTTGAGTCTCAGTCGATTCTCAGTCGAGCGGACAATAATAAATAAATAGCTCGAAAGTGCGGACATACCGTACAGCAACAAAATGTGAGGCTTGATGTTTCTTACCGGAAGCGTGAACCTTTCAGGCCGTTCCCGCCATCTTTTACCTCTTTTACCACGGATGGCTAAAACAAGCTTTGACTAGAGTCTTTTAAGATTTAACATCATCTCATAAATGTTAAAAACCACAAGGTCACGCAATGCCATCCTCCTATTTCCTTTCATTCCGGGTTGATTCGATTCGATTCACACATTCAACACTTCTCAATAACACTTTTGTTGACTTTTCAGCAAATTCTTGTGTCCCTCTTGGCTCTTGGCACTTCTTGTCGGTTCGGCCTTAACAAGGCTAGCTATTAATAGCACGAGAATAGTACCGGTAGGGAAGGAGCACGACACCGGTACGGTAGCTACTATCAGGTATGGTAGCACGATTGATGTGAGCATGTGAACCATGGCGTGACAGTGCAGTGCCTTGTGGTCACAGTGGGCCTCATCAAGCGGTTCCAAGGTCCTATTGCGAAACAATCGAGTACAAGTAGATTAGCTACCAGTATGGTACCCGGTCTAAACTGGAGTCGACACTGTACATGTACTCGGAGTAGTAGCTATGCATACCAGTACGGTAGCCCCAAAGGCAACGCTACTCTATCTCCCTGTCCCATATGCTGGGGTTATCGGTTTAGGGTATCGGCACGGTGGACAAGTGGTGCTCAGAGTAACCTTTTAAAATAGAATTCTATTACGTGTATCCCAATAGGCTCCCAAATCATTGGTCTCTCGTTGGGGATCATCAAGATTGGTGCACACAGTTCACAGGCTCTAACACTTTTAGAGGGAAATAGATATAATAGAAATCGATTGGAATGTGAAGTCGTTCCCAACATGGAGCCGTAAAACAGAAGTCAATGGTGAAGGGGAGCGATACATGTACATGACATTGTACTCATGTACTAGTACCTCACAGTGCACTTCACACTCCACACTCCACACGGAAACATGGCTGCATCATGCTGCATGTAATGATACCGGTCCCGGAGCAACCAGGAGCGTTTAATTAAGTAGTATGGAAAGCAGGCTGACATCGTAATCGCCTGGAACCTCGATTTTCACCCTGCGTCATCCATGCGTGGCACGTGGCAGCACTTCAGTCCACAGCGAAGCTGATTCTCGGCCATTAGGCCATAGGAGCCCCGAGGATGTTTTCTCTTCGCCACCTAGCTAGTAAGTAACTAGCTAGATCTAGCTAGTAGAGGCAAGGGGTTTTCACGGCAATACATTTGGCTCATTGGCTTTAGGCGGCTGTGGCGCCACAAGGAAGGAGCACGAGGCAGGCGCGTCTAAATGAACTGTTCTCTTCTTCGCCGCCTACCGGTAGCTAGCTAGCAACTACCGTAGAGAACTAGAGAGGAGTTCTGATGACCGCAACAGCTGCATTAAAATTGCTTTGGCGGCTAACGACTGAGAGCTTCTTCGAGGATGTGCACGAGGCAGGAGCGTCTAAACGAACAGCAAGAGGGCAAAATCAGAGGACCAGGCACCAAGACACGTGCTCCTTGCTTGCCACTCTTCTTTGCGCCAAACTGCGTGCACCACCTCTTGGCTGGCTGGCTCTCGCACCAATTGGACATGTACTCGCTTAGGCTTGAAGCCCAATCCACGAGAACAGAGCGCACTGGTATGGTGCCGCATCGCAGCTTGCCAATTCCTGCAGTGTTCTGCCTACTGTAGCTAGGTTGATACCGTAGCTACTAGCAAGCATTTGGATTCGGGCACGTGTGGGCAAGGCGACAAGTAGCTTGTCACCGTTGCTTGCTTCTCCGCTGACTGGGTCTTGTCGCCGCAATTGCTGCAAGCTGCAACGGAGAGAGACCAGGAGCGTAGCCTTACGGTACCGTGCCGTACCGTACCGCAAGACTAGCTAGCCAAGAGCGGAGAGTCCGTTCTTCTTCGGAATTCGTACACAAACCAAACTCTCTCGCCCAAAGTACGGTAGATTAAGTCTGGTAGCTCAGGTACATGTACCGGTACTGTACGTAGATCTAGTATTTCATATCTGGATACAAGGTACCGGTACTGGTAGCACCTTCCTCGGCCAGAATCGCGCAAAGTTTTTATAGACTAGTACTGAATTTCATACAAGACCAAATCTTCTAAATAAATGACTTTTAGTACAAAATGTTATAGTGGATTCAAAAAAGTGGCCTAACCCTCGAAAGTCTCAGTCTGACCGTTGGAGTCTTGTGGAACATCGGAAGACTTATTCGCTGAGGTGCGTCGTACCCTCTCACAAAAGGCGGTCACAATTTGGCGCCAACGTATCTTGTCATTGTTTCCGTGGAGGGAAAACGTCGTCGAGTCATTAGAAGCCAACAACAGCAATGCAATACACGGCTCTTAGCCTTATTCGCGACTCGATCCTAGATAGGGTTTGAGTTCGACTCATGACCGAGTCTCTCGTGAATAGTCATTTGAGACAGGGTTCTCAATGACCGCGCTAGTCATACTAGGTTGATGATGAAACATCGCTCTAGATATTTAGCCAGCGTGGAGTACTTCCACGCTACTAGATCCAGGCTAGACAAACCTTCCATGCGTTCCGTTTTGGGATCGTGGAGAGACGTAGGATTACTACCACAACCTACTCTATCACACTTTATAGTCTCCCGCGGGAAGCCAGATCTACGATCCCTTGATGATGATCTCTCTCGTTGATTAGTTTTCATAGCTTTCTAATCTCTCATAACTTTCATTCTCTCAAACTCAAAACACTCGAAAGATCTTTACACTAGCTTTTAGCGTAGTGCAGTCGTTTCAGATTTAACTTCATGCATGATTGAGGAACGCTCCTGTCAAAGAGTGAACGAGAGGACGGAGGAATTCAACGACAACAACACCGTGGAGGAAATCAACAACAACGACAACTTGAAGCCATTCATTCTCTGCTTACCTTATTACTTCACTGTAAGTCATGGCAGGAACTCCTCAACCTACCGCGGTTGACCTTTAGGCTGCCGAAGTGGCTTTCAAGGCAGCCAGAGGTAATGTAGACAACGCCAAAGAGGAACTCGAGGCAGCTTGCGCAAAGCACGACGCTGCTGAAAGCCCCGAGGATACGTAGATTGCTGGCACGTTGGTACATGCGCAAAAACAAATATTTGACTTTGAGATGAGCCAGCTCTGCATTGCCATGGAAAATTTGAACAGAGCTCGCCAGATTGCCTATCCATCCACACCAGAACACAATGTGTCGCCTTGGGATAGCGATTCTTTTGAGCACATGCTGCAGAGTTCTCCCACCATGAGTCATCAGCGTGGGGCCATCCACCAGGATGCCTTAAATTCGCTCAATCTTCTTCTACTTAATCCCTGGAGTATGGATGCCCCGACATTTCAGGCCACAATGGGAGTCCCTCGAATGAACGAGAACCGTAAGAAGAGCGCGAAACACTACAACCGATATAAGAAAAGAAAGAATCTAGCTCAGTGTTCTATCACGGGCATATGGGGAGATTGCAACAAGGTAATTGGGGCTCATCTCCTCCCTGTTGGGACAACAACTACGAATGTTCAGATCGTACTCAACATGGTGGGCAAGCTCAATGACCCCAGGAATGTGATTCCTATGTAGGAAACGATTGAAAAGGCGTACGACCAGCTAAGACTCTGTATTGTCTTGCACGATCCGGATGGAGGTGGCAATAAAGTCACACTTCGGATTCTTGACCTGGCTTTGAAGGATGAAATTGTTGACGGCACTATGACTTTTGGAGCCCTTGCAGGAAATCCCTTTGACCTTCCAGAAGGAGGTGAAAACAATGAAGGCCCCCTTCAAGCGATGTCTGTCCTTCCATGCACAGACAGCATATGCCGAAGCCAAAAGAAGGAACTGGCACCTCTTGAAAGAGGGCTGGAATGGAATCGAACCAAACCCTACCCAATACGGTTCACCACTGGACACAAACAAGATTACTTTCCTGAAGATGGCTTCCTCCACTTTTGACGAAACCTCACTCGGAAGTGGCGTCACTAACAGAACCTGAGCATGCGTGGGAACGAGTAAGCATCCACTCCTTTTTTTAATGGTGGCTTTGTAGGTCAAAGAAGAACCTACTATTCATGCCATCCACTCACAACTAGGGAACTTGCTACATATAATAACACAACGACAACCCTGCTTTAGCGTGTGAAATAGTGTGTACTCGACGCATCAACCTGAAAAAACAGGCAATCAGCGCAATCCACATGGTCATGGTGGTCATGATAGGCGCTCCTAAATAGTCGTGTGCAAGAAGCCAACAAAGCTAAGAAGATAAACAATACTAATCTAGTCGCTTAGTCGCTACGCTCATCAAACTCAATCACTTCGACCACTGTCACTCTTCTGGGTTCGTTACTGTCACCTCTTCCAAATCTCGAGGACGAAAGGGCAGGACCAAGAAGAAGGAATCGTCCATGACGCCCACAGGCACTCTTGGATCTATCTGCAACCTCATGTCACCACCTGGTTACAGACAGGACCTGCTCTCATCCAGCTCATCCGAATCCAGGAGCTCTGACAGTTCCTACCGCCCCTCTTCCATCGCATTCACCTTCCGAGTCATATAGCTTATACGCAACTAACTCCACCACCTGTTTGTCGTCCTTGTAAACCAGACCGTTCATACCATCAAGGACAAACTTAACCAAGTTGTCAATGCGTCAGGAGTGGCCACGCAAGCAAAAGGCAGGACCGCCTTCAAAGGGTTCCATCTTGCACGGTTTTTGAAGTGAGTGTCAGGTCTCCTCATGAAGAACTTGACCTTAACAACGACAGGTTCGTTAGAAGCAAACATAGGAACTGTGGAGATTCCAGCCTTGATCTTCACCTTGAAAGCGGCCATCTCCCTACTCCTAGGGTTGTAGAATCCATACTTGCCAAGTCTTGGTCGAGCCTGTGACTTTGGAACACCCTTCACTCCCAACATGTAGATCAGATTGACGGACTCATCGGTAATGTCGACCACCTCCTTTGAAGAAGACATCTGAGCTTTGTGAATAGTCCGACCTAGCTAGACCCGCATCATCTTGCCTCACCGGTATTAACCAAGAATCAGTCCCGTCATCTTGCACCTCACTGGTATTAACCAACAGAATTTGTGAGATGCTCGTCGCTTGGTAACTAGACCGTTGAGAATCAGTCCCGTCAGTTAAGTTTAGTTAATTAGGATTAACCCTAACAAAACCCCTACCCACCTAGGTCCCACGTCCCACCAAGCTGACTCCTTTGGTGTTGAAGACTCACCCCCTCCCACTAGCGAAAACTGTCTTCCAGTACTGGAAACCTATCTGACCGCCCGGGCCCAGGAAGGCCTCGTCACACGACTGTTAGTCCCGGATTCAGTAGCGATTTCGGCCGTTTCCAACAAAGTCGCGTCAGATCGCCAAAAGTCGTTTGTAAAGTCGCACGCGACTCGCACACGACTTTCGCACGGCTTTCTGCACGGCTTTCATTTTGCCACACGACTTTTGACGCGACTCTTCATCACAACAAGAAGATCGATATCAACAACCAAACAACCTCGACAATGGTCGACGCAGTGGTCAACGGAGTGGCTCCCTTCATTATACCGCCATCCTATATCCTTCGAGAGGGTCTCAAGTGGTCCTTTGTTGATGTGGCCACACAGAGTAGCCACTGCATGGAGACTAATATCCGACAGTTCGATGCGATATCATGGCAAGTATGCTAAAGCTGTTGCTCTTCTCTGTTCTCAGGCTGGAGAAGACGACCAAGTGAAACTGGATCTCATCTCTTCCGCCATCAGCTCCTCCTCATCACACAAACAGAAGGCATCAGCAGCCAAGCCCGACAAAGTCAAGTCAACGCCGACAAAACTCAAAAAGGAAAAGCCAACCATGTCTCTGCTTGGCAGTCCTGTGCGCATTCTCAAGGGCAGCAACAGTAGTGGCTCCAAGGGTAAGTTGCCGTCTGTCTTCTGCTTACGTTTGACTTTCATTTTCTTTATTTGATACACTCAAATGGATGCTGCTCTTTGTTTGTTTAACAGATCATAAAGAGTTTTATGATGTTGATCTTTCCAATGAGGAGATGCATTAGAGTATCTTGTTACTCTCTGACGGACTGAGCTCATCACCAAGAAGGATGGTAGCACTTGCCATGCCAGCTCCATTGTTGTAGCCCGTCCCAATAGCAAGCCAGAAGACAACAAGCTCTTGAAGGCTACGGTGAACACGGATTCAATTGAGATTGTAGGCCCTGCGAAGAGTAGCACCTACTTAGCCAGCTCTAAGGAGTGGTTGGGGTTGCTTGAGAAGAACAAGAAGAGGAGTTTTCGGCCATCGCAAAAGCTTGGCACCAACTCACTGCATTGAGTTACCAAATGCAAAAGAAGAAGGTAATACAAAGACGACCGTATCTTAGTGTCAAAGACCTTGTGCATCAAAATCCGAATAAATATTTCAATGACGGATGATGCCAAGACGGAGCGCTGAAGATGGTTCCTCTCCCGTACTCGTACCGAAGACCAATGGTTGGAAAGAAACCTTTAAGGTCACGAAGCAATGGTCATTGGCGTGCCTACATTGAAAGCTCCGAGGACGAAGTCAGCAAAAGTACGGAAGTGAGACGTACGAATCTTTTGTAACCTCCTGAGAGCAGTGCGAACTGCTTGCTTAGTAATGTGGAAGTCTTCAGAATCAAAGAAATGTTTTGTGCTCTTTGATTGTCTCCTCATTAGTCAACACCGGCAATGGTTGATAGTACTAGTAGTGGTGATAGCATGGATACGATAGTGTTGATGGTTCTAAGGGCGATTCATCTGGTGGTGAGGATGCTACTAACGGTGGCTCCACGGATCTGGTTCTCCCTTCTTTGCCCAAATCCGATGGTGAGGAGAAGGACGAAGGACCCTACTATGACTATGATCAGGAGTCAGTTAAGAGTGACGATGACAAAGACAATGACAAGAAAGAGGACATGAGCAGCGACGAATACCTCAACAATGCGATGGAAAAGGCAAAGAATGCTGCTCGTACAAAGAAAGCCCAAGAGGTCTTGGCTCGTCTCCATGACCAGAAGCGACAGCATGGAGAAGATGTGACTTGGGTCGAAGACAAGATGGTTGATGTCAATTCGTTTATCCGCGACTTTCATCACGAATTGGATCGACTCCTCCTCAAAGAAGGCGAGGAGAATACGATGGAGGTCAAGAACGGCTCAGCAAAGAAGAGAGGAAATGAGGAGGTTGAAGGCCCTGACTTTGATGACGATGACCTTTAGATCTATCTAATAAGAAGCACAGATAAGTAACATCATAGTAGTGAACAATGTATGTAATCAAAGACATCAACAACTATAGATTTAGATCTACAAACTATTGAGGTTCTCTCCCACTGCAGAAGAGTCCTCGATGGCATATTGGACCAAGCCCATGACAGCAGAGAAAAACTTGGAATGTTTCTCCTTCCCATGAACAAACCTTTTGGTTAGGCATTCATAATCCTTGGCACGCTTATTGATGTGCTCTTGTTGAGCTTTTGCCTTTGCCTTGATATCTCTCACTTCGCCACAATCAAGACAGTTTCCCACAGAAAATATTTTCTTCTCCTTCTCCGTTTTGCCAGTGTATGCACTGTCAGCAATGACGCGGCATCCATCGGGAACCATATAAACACACTCTTTGCGAATTGCTTTCATGTCATGTACACTGCCAAGGTCTCCTGCGGAAGCATACCATATATCATTCGTCCACATGGAAACAACAACTTGATAGTTGAGACCGGCAAAGTTGTGCTTGTATGCATAATTCTTTGGATTTCTCCTCATTTCAGGATCTTGGTTCATTTGTCCTCATTTGTGTCCCATCCACTGTAGCTCCCAATTTGACTGGCCACACTTCGGGGCACTTGATCTTCTTCATCTTGAACTTGAACAAGAATGTCTACCCACTGCCATGTTGTGTGCCTCAGTTTGGTGTGGCATTGAAAGCCAAAGCGTGGAGCTCGTCTATCCTCTGGCTCGTAGCACTTGAGAAAGTGGTTGGCCACCATGAATCCAGCAAATGACTCTCTCTTCTTTGCTTCCTCCACATCCAACACCTCAAAGAGTTGTGCATCCCGATAGACACAGGCAAGGTGCAATGGGTGGCGACCAAAGTGAGATTT